CAGCCAGACAAAATTACTTTGAACAAACCAACAAACCTGGATGATGGCTGGCATACAGATTGAAGAATGAAAGAGAAAAAAGGATGATATATCAATTAAAAGATGACAAGGGAAGAATTCAATACAAAGCGGAAGAAAAGAAGCATATCATTCATAAATACTTCACAAAACTATACGCGCAAGATAGTATGGAGGAAATCAAAATAAAACATTATTTAAACACAGAAAAGATAACATTAACATCAAAAGAACAAAGGGAGGTGATAAACAGGCCAATAACGTTTGCCGAAGTGGAATTAGTCCTGAAAAAGCAGAAAAATAATAAAACCCCAGGACCAGACGGAATACCGGTGGAGTTATACAAATATAACGAAATAATATCGGAAGAGCTAGGAGTGGAAATGTTTAACAAAGTTTCAGGAAAAGCCAAGATACCTGAATCATGGAGAGAAGCAATAATATCGCTAATCCCAAAAGAAGAAACCAGCCTACAAGAAATTCCCACCTCCTTTAATGGCTTCACCAGCTTTTATGACAAAGGCAATCCGCAGACTGATGTGCTATGGCATCTTCTAGGAACTCTTCCAACTTCGGACCGGACCTCTTCTTTGGGTGGGGCTGGCTGCGGTCTCCACCTTCCCAGAGAATGAGAGTCTCAGGAAAGCCAACGCCCATTCTCCATTGTTGGTGGAGACAGCGACCAGGAATGGGACATATCAAAGCCAGTACTGTCCCTACGGGTGGGCCTGCGACTGGGCTGAAAGTTCTTGGTCCTCACACACCCACTGCAGAACCTGTCTTTGTGTGCCTTTGCCGTCACAATGTTGGTGCAGATGAGAACATGTTGCCCCTTCAGATGCTGGCTGAAGTGCAGGAGTGCCAGGTGGATATGGCTTTCAGCTCCAGCCAGTTGATGCTATGCTGTCTGTCTGACGGGGACCAGAGACCCTGAGCGATATCTGATCAAAGATGTGTCCCTCAGCCCGACAGGCTGGCCTCATTGTCACTGTGTTCTGGGCAGGCTCCCGGAACAAAGCTTCCTGAGAAATCACTGATGACATCCATCATCTCAGGAAAACGCACACCGCCGGGGTCAGGATCACTTTCGCAGATGAGCTGGCTCTGTCTGCCCCCTGATGAGGAAGAAGGAACCACTGGAGTGGTCTGCTGTGCAGTCTCGCCCATGGGATGATGTGGAATAAGGACACCATCTTCTCTGCAGTTGAGAGAGGACAACCAGCGTCCGATGCCATCGATCTTAGACTCGTCTGGCTTTCCTGTGAAAGATAGATCCTTCCCTCCGTTCTATCTATGACCGCCCTCAGGTGAAGGATCCTGGTGGTGGGAGAGAGGTAACTTTGCCCAGGTTGATGGAAAACCCGTGGTCCCTTAACAACTGGAGGGACAGTTGAAGGTCCTGCCTGGCCTGGTAAGGGGATCTGGACAGAATCAGGATATCACCCAGGTAACAGAGAATCCTGATAGAGCTGGGCACCGAGGAGAGTCCGAACGGAAGTGCCTTGTATTGATAATGCCTCCCTCAGTAGCAGAACCTGAGAAACTGTCTGTGAGCTGGTAATATAGGTATGGGAAGTACGCCTGCGCCAAATCCACTGAGGTGAGGAAGTCGTCCCTCCAGACACTTTCTAGAATGGTCTGAAATGATTGCATCTTAAAACGCCGATATACTATGTAGCAATTCAATCTTTTGAGGTTGAGTATGGCTCTCCAGGCCTACCCCCAAGGCTTTTGGAACTATGAACAGAAGAGAGTAGAATCCTAGTCCTCTCTGATCTACTGTAACAGCCTGAATTGCCAGGATGTCCAGGTGTTGTATTGCTTATTCTACCAAAAGCCTTCGGCCCCCATCCTGCAACATCAGGCAAGTTCTGAAAAACCTCAGGGGGTAGGAGAGAAACTCAAGGGAGAGGTTGTTTGACACCGTCTCCCTGATCCAAGTGTCTGAGGTTATTGCCTCCCATCGGTGGGCAAAGAAGGCCAATCGGCCCCTGATGGGAATTGTCATGGGGCAGTCATTTCTGACACTGGAAGGGAGGGCTAAACCCGCCTCAGAAGGATCTTCCGGCCTGATAACATTGGCCTACCCTTGTTGGACTTCTCTTGTTGGTGTTGCTGGCACTGAGACGGGCTGAACTGATGTTGGAAATGAGGGGAGGAGAATCCTCCCCCCCGCGCCTCGAAAGGGCGACCTCCTGTAGGAGGTAGGTGGTTTCCTATCTGGTTTCTTAAATTGGGAAGACAAGGCCTTTTTTTGTCTTTGGATTGCACCAGCATGGCTCCGAGGGTGGACCAAAAAGCTGCTGACCTGAGTATGGGGCCGATGCAAAACTCCACTTATGCTTGGCATTGGGCTGCCACTGTCTCAACCAGAGAAGCCGTCTTGTAGCAATGGAG